GTTGATGAAGTTCAGGTGAAGCTCTCTCCTACCTTGAGGAAACCACGAAGGCTGGCAATCTCAAAACAATAAAAACACTGCTATGCATTCAAACCTTGCATAAATAACTTTTAACAATTTGTACAAAAATAGTTCTGCATAATGTAAGATGTAACAAAACCAAACAGAAAAAAATGCGTTGAGACTGCGGCAGAGAAGTGGTGCGTGGTCCACTTTATGAGGACGCCAGGAGCCTCGGAGCTGTCGGGAATGAGGTGTTCACAAACAGAAAACCAGACGCCACCACCAAAACGCCCAAACTCAGGCTGAAATAAGAGAAGTCCTCCAGGCCCCATACCCCACCGATGGGAAGGTCTTCTCGCTCAGGGCTGCCACAGAAATGGTCCAGAAAGCAGTGCAGTCACGGTTCAGAAAGACCCAAGGAAAGGGTCTGGCTCACTCATTCCAGAAATGGCTGGTGGGACAGCTTTTTCCTTGGCAAGACTTGCAAAATGGAATCGTCCCGTGGTCTGTTGTCCAAGTTCGAAATTGAAAATAAAATCCCTTATTTCTTTTGTAAAGTCTTTCCCCATCCCGCACCATCTCCCTCCCCACACCCGCCCAGTATTTACATACTTGACCTTGGACTAACTCAGTTTTTGCAGGAGTTTTTCTTCCACTTGCCCAAACTGGACGCTCACAGACATTTCAGCTATGAACTGCTCACAGCCTTCCTTGGTGACTTGCTTGCAGTACCTTAGGTCAATATGACAGATATTTCCACAGCGTTTGAAGAAGGACAGGCACTGATCAGTGACCTTATTGCAGTCTGCAGGGACAAGGAAACAATGAGCGATGAGACAGTGCGGAGCCCAGAGGCCCCCAAATCCCAGGCGCTCAGCGATAGAGAACAGGACAGAGCTCTGAAGCATCCAAGCCCCTGATGCCCTCAAGAAAACTGTGGGTGTTTAAAAGCTCTCTTCTCCAAACAGGAGTGGTTCCATCTACCAGTTATAAAGCCTAGGACACGCCTGAAGAGCATCCAGACGGCTATAAGTGAAAACCACGTTTTATACACAGGTCTCCCTACCTATGTTTTGTTTTTTTTAAAACAAAGACAGGATCACATGGTATGTGGTTAAACAGCTTGCTTTTCCAGTTGCTATACTGCTGATGCACATGTCTCTATGTGCATCACTGCACACTTAGCTGCTGATTTCCTGCAGATAAATCCCCCGAGAGAATGGCTCGGTCAGAACCGCTGCAGGGGCATCTAGGACCCTGTCCTCGCATCACACTTTCGAGCCCAGGGGCGTTTTCTCCTGACCCCATTCCTGGATGTTCTACCTGGATCCTAAGCAGAAGGCCAACGTGCTGGAGGGCTGGAGAGGCTCTGTCTACTGAGAGCAGGATAGAATGCAGACTCCTCCAGTGGCCCCTCACCTGTGGGCTCACTCTGACTGTGGGCTTCCATCAACTTGTACTTTTCTTCTGTCATACTCTTAGACCTGAATCCAGTCAACTGGCTGAAATGCCAGTCAGCATCCAACTGAGACTTGCAGTCACCGCTCTGGGAAGGACTAGTGATTTCTAACATCCTCTTGGTGGTATTGTGAGGCCTTTGCTTATCATCATTTCTACTAAACGGAGCAGGAACAGGAACAGCAAGGCAAACTGTGATAACGGGTAAGAAGCCTGTGCTATCTAAGTGTCTTCAGAGTCCCTGCAGGTCAGCAGGTGGCTGGTGTGACGAAGTACAAGTCACAGCCCCACCCCAGTCACTAATAAACTAGCCGCTTTGTAAAATCAGCCCCTTTCAAGCCATCTCCTCAGGTCTGCACAAAATCTCTGCACAGAAACTCGCCCATTCTTGAATGTAAATTTCAGACACTGTAAATGTAACACAGTCTCATAACGGCAGCAGGATTTCATAAACTTGGAACAAATAATGGTGGAAAACTGAATAATACCCGTAGCCACTGACCAATGATGACTGGCCAGTTAGACAAGTTAACAGAAGAAGGAAAAATGGACAAAGGACGCAGACAAAAACAGATGCTTCAAAAGATAACAAATCCTACAACTTAACAAAAA